AGTGATTCGCTTCACAACTCTGGCAAGAAAGGCACCGACGGTTGTGGTTGGCCGGCAGCCGGTGCAAGCCGGCAGAAGTATCGGACAGCGAGGACGAAAGGGAACCAGTCAGGGAGTCTCGGGGGGGGGGGGGGAGACGGACTCAGACGAGGGTCCTGCATCCGAGGCAGAGATGGGGCCAGGACCCATCTGAGAGTGGGGTGCTCTCTCCAGAGCCTTCGGAGCCCGGCAGAAGAAGACCCAGGGGAGCCTGTTCCCAGTGCGCATGTGCGCAGCGCTGCTAGAAGGTGACAGCAGCTGAGACAAAAGAGTAAGGCTGGCCGGCGATTGCCCCTCCCATAAGGGATAAAAGTCAGTCCTCAACGACGAACCGCTTTGCAGGAAGCAAAGCAGTTCAGTAATCTCCGAGTCCTTCGTGAAGCTCTGTACTCTGGTCGGGGTTTTTTTTTCTGGGTTTGGGGGTTTGGTTTATGTTAGCCTTAATTGGGCTTCTGTTTCTTGGCAGCATTCTGCAGCGCTAAAAAGCATGCTTTTATCCGGAGGAACTGTGACTAATTCGTTTTGGCTGGGAATGCAGGTAATTCCCAGCATTGCATTAAAAAAGTTTACTTCTAAATTCAGTTTGTGTTTTACTAAGTTTGACGAAGCCCGGGTCAAAACACCGACCAAAGTTACCATCGCGGCTCTTGGTGTGTCAATGCAGAGAAATGGATTCATCCAGAAAATAGGTTGTGCTTTTTTGTGGGAAAACTCCTGATGTTGTGGCTCCCAAGGGCGTGTGTTGCACGCACGCTCCCACTAGGGAGACAAGGGTGAGCAAACGGTCATTTTTCCCCACGCTCTATTTCTCCAACATAAACTAGGTTTTTTTTTTTTTTTTTTAAAAAAGCTAGATTTCTCCAGCCCGAGAGATTTAATAAACAGCAATTTCTCCGTCTATTCCTCGGTCTGTCATTTTGCCAGCACTTAGCAGGTTGTTTATCCAAGGGGTTATTCAAAGCCAAACTTGATTTACGACTCAGCAGATCTTCCAGGAATGAATGACTTCCTTGGACACCGTCCAGTTTCGTCATCGTCGACTTTCCAGAGAGAAGCATCTGCCGACAGGCAGGAAGGACGTCGTGGAAAGAGAAGGAAGAGACGAGGGCAGAGCACAGAGACACTAGCAGAGGAGAGGTCCTTTCCAGGGTTGGCTAAATTCGATGCACCCAGAGATGTCCACAGAGATGGTGCAGAAGAAACACGATGGCCACCAGGGTCAAATCAAAGATGGCACCAGAGGCCGGAAGCACATGAGGATGCAAGGATGATCCACAGCTGCAGAAGCTCTTTGACTGCTGGTTTCGGACAACATTGAGATTTATGGCCTTGGGAGAACATCAGATCTTCTGGGCAAGGCCCAAAAGTATCATGTCAACTGATCTTGAAGGAAAGGAAGCCGTGAACCTCTGATCTCAAAGCTACTTTGGGGATCTTGGGAGGAGCCAGCACCCCACTGGGAGGGTCTCTAGCCTTAAGTGGAGGGGCGAGCAGGTTGATCCCGGTTGGTATTCGGACAGGGCAGGGATCCACTGGGAGATCGGAGTTTGGTAGTTGGATCCTTCAACCGCGAACGTGAAGTTTTGTTGGGTATGAGGTTGAGAGGTTGTTTTACTTCTGAAGCACATTTCCAACCCAGGATTCCCCTGATAAGAGCCAGGATGTCAAACCTGTAGAATTGCCACATTTCATCCCTGCCGGTGAGGAATTCTGGGAACTCATTTGGCCATTCAATTCTCCCCCATTTAGGCCCCACCAGACTGGGGTAGGTGGAAACAGACTATCTGAGAGGTGTCGTTCATTCATTCATTCATATCTCCTGCTCTCACTCTCTCTCTTCCCTCCCTCCCTTTCTCTCTCCCTTCCTCCTTCCCTCTCTCTCTCGATTGGGGGAGGTGGAAACAGACTATCCAAGAGATTTCATTCATTCATTCATTCATTCATTATGTCCCTCCCTCTCTCTCTTCCCTCCCTCCCTCTCTCCCTTTCTTTCCCTTCCTCCTTCCCTCTCTCTCTCGATTGGGGGAGGTGGAAACAGACTATCCAAGAGATTTCATTCATTCATTCATTCATTCTCTCTCTCTCTCTCTCTTTTCCCTCCCTCCCTCTCTCCCTTTCTTTCCCTTCCTCCTTCCCTCTC